ACTGAAACTCAAGGCTTGAATTTGTTCTTCAGTTCTTTCCACTTAGGAAATGCTGAGCGATTTCAGCCCTTTTGATTTTCTGACTCCAGCTCTTTGCACATTTCATTATAATACTTTACTTTGTCTTCCCACACTGCCCTTTAAAATCTTCTGTTCAGCTTCTTAATTTCTTTATCAAAGAGATTGTGGAACTAAGGGATATTATACCTAATATTAGATGGATTTTGGCTGAAAACAGAGTGTACCACAGCAATGTCTATCTGTGTTTCATTGACTATACAAAGATATTTTAGTAGATCACAACAAACTATGGCTAACTCTGAGAAGAATGAGAATCCCAGAATACTTGATTGTACATATGTGAAACCTGTACATGGACCAGGAGCCAGGCATCAGAACAGAGCAAGAAAACACTGCCTGATTAAAAATTGAGAAGGGTGTACACCAGGGATATGTACTATTTCCATACCTTTTCAATCTATATACAGAACAGATTATCTGGGAGGCTTGGCTCTATGAGGAGGAATGTAGCATCAGGATTGGAGGAAGACTGATCAACAACCTATGTTATGCAGCTGACACAATCTTGCTTGCTGAAACTGAGGAGGAACTGAAGCACTTGCTGCAGAAGGTCAAGGACTGCAGCTTTAAATATGGATTGAAGATCAGTACCAAGAATAATTATTCACACCACTGGGCCGATTGGCAACATCATGATAGATGGTAAAGAGCTTGAGGTTGTTAACAGCTTCAGTTTGTTTGGCCCCACAATGAACACTCTTGGTACCAACAGCCAGGAAATCAAAACACAAATTGTATTGGAAAAGTCAGCTTGTCAGGACATCTCCAGAGTACTAAAGAGCAATGATGGTGGTCTGGAGACTAAGGTGCACCTGATGCAGGCCATAGTCTTTGCATTTACTTGCTATGTAGCAGAAAGCTGGCCAATGACTAGGGAGGTTAGAAAGATAATTGATGCCTCTAAGCTGTTGTGCTGGAGAAGAGTATTGAATATACCACAGACTATCAGAAGAACAAACAGATTCATCCTAGAGAGGGTGAAGGCAGGCTGATTCTTGGGGGCAAGGATTCTGAGGCTTTGTCTGACATACTTTGGGCCTGTAACGAAGAAGAACTGGTCCTTGGGAAGGGACATCATGCTTGGGAGGGTGGGGGACAGAAAAAGACAGGAAGACCCTTTATGAAATTAATTGAATCCATGACTGAGGTAATGAGGGTAGATGTGTCAGATACAATAAGGTTTGTACAGTATAGAGCAGGGTTCAGGGCTGTTGTACGTAGGATCGCTATGAGTTGCAAGCCACAACAACAACTGGAAAGATGAACTTGGATATAGAATTGTAGCTAGTTTTTAAAACATTGTTCAGTGAAAACTATAAAATTTAATATGTAAGGAAGCTCATTTCCTGTAGCACATTAATTAGAGAGCTATGAACACAAGTCACATGAGAGTTTGGATTGTGTTTGTTTTATTCTTTGCTAAAGTAGGCCAGATGACACTTTGGCTAATAGGAAAAGTATGTCAGGCTGTCAGAACTCTCCAAACAGAGAGCATGTCAGTTTTTGCCTCATGACAAAAAAAAAAATTTAAAATACTGAATATTTCCCCCTATTTGCTTTGTAGCCAAAATATAAGGAGAGGTGTCATTTGTAGTAATCCTCCAAAAAGGAAACAATTGTTAAATCTTTTTTTAAAGAAAAAACCAACAAATACCTTTTGTAAAATAATCATAATGAATTATAAACTTCAGGGCCAACTGATGTAAGCTCTTTAGCAAATTCCAAAAGTAGCAATAGACTGGATTCCAGCAGTATAGGCTTTCTAGCATGGGTAAGTAATCAGAGAACTGGGAAGGAGTAAATTAAGGGGACCCAGTACTCCTAACACCATTGATTTATAATTTATCACAGCAAGTGATGCACTCACTGATTGCCCACCCTCTTGAGGAAGTGTACAATCAGTTGTTATTTATCTGTGACCAATTTCTAACCCAGCACCCATTTCAATCATTGAGGCAATGGACTCAAGACTAATGACAATATTTTGTTGTTGCTGTTGTTGTTATGTGCCGTCGAGTCGCCTGCGACTCATAGCGACCCTATGTACAACAGCCCTAAACTCCGCTCTGTCCTGTGCCAATCGCACTGTCTCTG